CACCCCCCACCCCTTGAACCCAAAACCCTAAAACCACGTTTTGGACTCTTACGTATGTTAGAGAGACAGGAGATAGAAAGCGCTCAGTTCTAAATAGGGGATCCACCCTAGGCTTTAGAATTTCTAAACCCTGGCAAAAAAAGATTCTATAGCCCGAAGCCCTTATCACAAGAACCCCTCGAAAGGACCCCCTGAATTTGTAACCCTCAGCCCCTCAACCCTAACCATACGTAGGGTTTGGGGTTTGGGGTTTAGGGTCTAGAGTTTAGGCTATATTTTCTAGGGCGTATAGCCCTAAACCCTAAACCCTAAACCCTAAACCCTAAACCCTAAACCCTAAACCCTAAACCCTAAACCCTAAACCCTAAACCCTGTAGGGAACCCCAGGTGTGGGTTAATTTGGCTCTGGTGGCTGATGTGTTCGGCCTCCTTGCCCGCTGGCGCTCCGGGAGTCCGATGCCGCCTGTGCAGGAGACGGCGATTTGAGGGAGGGTTTAGGGTTCAGGGTTCAGGGTTCAGGGTTTAGGGTTTAGGGTTTAGGGTTTAGGGTTTCGGGTTTAGGGTTTAGTTTATGTTTCGGGGTTTGGCCTGGCTAGGGTTTAGGGCTTTAGGGAATCTAGGTTCGCTTAGGTGCATCATGGCATCGTGGGTATCCTCATGCCTCCCTTAAACCCTAAACCCTTAATTAACCCTTAACCCTTAACCCTTAAACCCTTAAACCCTAAACCTAAAGCCTAAAGCCTAAACCCTAAACCCCTATGCCGACTGAAGGAGCTCAAAGCAGATCCACACGGGGCGGCATCGCGGGTAACCATGCATTTGCTGTCGTTCTGCTCCTCTCTGTTTCTGTTTTCGTGGCTGACCGCTGCCTGCCTTACTGTCCCTAAAGCCTAAACCCTGAACCCTCAATCCTAACCCCTAAACACCAAACCCTGAACCCTAAACCCTGAACCCTAAACCCTAGACCCTCGGCTTTAGGGGTGTTTCGGATGTACTTCTGTTTTTTAGGGGCCCAGGGGCCTGTGGAGTTCTCGGGGTTGCGGCTCGGTATTTTGAGGCTTTGGGGTTTTGGCCTTTTGGGCTTTGGGCTTTGTGCTTTGGGCTTCAGGCTTAGGGTTTTTGGATTTTTGGGCTCAGGGTTTAGGGTTTAGGGTTTATGGTTTGGGGTTTAGGGTTTAGGGTTTAGGGCGTTTTGTTTTCTGGTTTTTGGGTCGTGTCAGTGAGATTCTTCCCTTTGAAGGCTCTGGGCAGCTAGATTTGGGGCTACAGGGCAGGTCAACCTCCTACCTGGAGGTTCATGGTACTTGCTAGCCCATTATAACTGTACTGATAACCCACTTATAAGCGCCTTGAGTGTCCTAATATGGTTAGAAGTACAGTTGTACGTACAGTTATCATTATAAGTACAGTTGTAAGTACAGTTATAAGAACAGTTGTCATTTATTAATTTGTACCATGAACTTCCAAGTACAGCCGCTTTGCGGCCATTCATGCGTTGAGGTTGCTTTCATGTGGCACTTTGACGCCGACGACCCCAAATGGCCGATCACCTCGGTGCCCATGTTCTCCACGTGAGCCGACGAAGTTCGGAGTATATAATAGGAACTTCTGATGAGGGTTTAAGGTTGGTAATTTGGGTTTAGGTTTTAGGGCACTGGCTCCCCTCAACCTAGTTGCCAGACCATACAGGCCTTCCCTAAACCCGCAGTATACTTAAGGATACTTAAGCCCTGAGACCCTTCTGCGTCACCAAGTCACCTTTGTAGTGTAAGAGCCACTGTAGTGTAAGAGCCACAGTGAGACTTAGAGTTGCGGTTGCAAAGGTCTGAAGGTGTCGTGTTTTTTTTTTTTTTCCTTGGTTTTTCTGGTTTGGGGTTTGGGGTTTAGGGTTTAGGGTTTAGGGTTTAGGGTTTAGGGTTTAGGGTTTAGGGTTTAGGGTTAGGGGGGTTTACCCGAAAGGACCTTGCTCGCCCGGAGAGCCTCAATGCCTGAACACCACTTGGAGGTTCATGGAACTGTACCTATAACCATATTAGGGCATTTAAGGGGCTTATAAGTGGGTCAATATCAATAAGTACCATGAACCTCTAAGCAGCCAGGTTCTGTTCTGGGCATCACTCTTGCCCTCGCTCTCAGACCTTTCAGCTTGGACGCGCAGACCTGCTGAGCAAGATTTTCCATCTTTTGCGCCCCCTAACCTCCCTGATCATGTTCAGGAGTATTTTCGAGAGGTAAACCCCTAAACCTAGACCCCATACCCTCAGCCCGGACATTCAAACCCTGAACCCTAGAGCTCCGCGCACTACAAACCCTACACCCTACACCCTAAACCCTAAAGCAAAGCCCCAAAAACACTAAACCCTAACCCTACACAAACCCTAAACCCTAAACCCTAAACCCCAAACCCCAAACCCCAAACCCCAAACCCCAAACCCCAAACCCCAAACCCCAAACCCGCTGACGGTTGTTCTTTCTGGGGCCAAAGATCTTCTCATGATTTTGTCACGGTTGCTAAACGACTGCTTCTGTTCCACCAAACAATATCCCCCCTTGAAGGGGGGTAGGGGGGTAGACAACCCTAAACCCGTCGAAGGTTTGTTTTTTGGGTGGGAGGGTGGACATTGCAGCTCATGCGCCGACCCCCCAACCACTTCATGGAGGGGGTCGAACACACACTCGCAGCGAAAAACCCTAAACTCTGAACCCTGAACCCTGAACCCGAAACCCTAAACCCCAAACCCTAAACCCTAACCCCTAAACCCTAAACCCTAAACCCTAAACCCGAAACCCTAAACCCTAAACCCTACCCCTAAAGCCCTCCGCCCAGGATGGGCCCTGTCTGTTTTCCTGGGCCTGGCCGGTTCATCCGTGGTGCTGTGGCGGTTCCCCCGCGCCGTGAAGCCCTAGGGCTGGGGTTTAGGGGTTAGGGTTTGGGGTTTAGGGTTCAGGGTTTAGGGTTTAGGGTTTAGGGTTTAGGGTTTGTAGGTGTTGCAGGGGCTGTAGGGTTTGTAGGGTTCGTAGGGTTTGTAGGGTTTCAGTGTGTGGTCTTCAGGAGCTCCGCCGAGTTCCTTCTTTTGGAGGTTTTCCTAGCCACGGCTCGGCGGTGGCTCCAGGTACTTGGAGGTTCATGGTACTTATGAACCAAGTATGACTGTGCTTAGAACCCACTTATATGCCGCTTAAGTGCCCGGACATGGCTATAAGTACAGTTATAAGTAGAGTTGTGAGTGGTTAATAAGTACCATGAACCTACGAGTAGGCTGAAGAATGCAGGTAGCCTAAAACGGCCGGAGGCCCGAAGCTCTGCGGGTTTAGGGTTTAGGGAACCTTAACTGAGAAGCTGAATTGCAAAAATCCCCTGTCGAACTAAAAGTGTGCACTTCTTTGGGGGGCTTATGAACTCGGCAACTAAGTTAAAGCCCCCACAGCCCTAAAATCCTAAAGCCCTACATTCACTAAACCCGGAACCCTAAACTCCAAAAGGTTCTAACTCCCCAGAAATCTGCAGGCCGGAGTGCTTTCTTGGATCCCTATAATGCTTATGGAGGTTTCCGAAAATAGGGGGGTATCCTTTTGGGAGGTCCCTTTTCAGGAGATTCTATTCTATTTTTGTCCCAACATAGGGCTATCCATATTTTGGGACATACCTCTCCGCCCTGATCTCCCAGAAGCCTAGAAGTTCAAAACCGGAGGTCGTCGGTTTTTCCCCCTGGACCCCTGAAGCTTGTGGGCTTTCGCGGGGCCCCAGTAGTTCAGAGCTGCAAAAATTGCGCCCCGGGCCTTTGCGAACCAGAGCATGCGCGAGACGATTGCGACACAAGAGAAGGCGTCGAGCGCCAGGATCCAGAAACCTGCCTGCACTGGTCATGCCGCCTTAAGCACGAGATAGAAAGACTGCCATGAAGGCACCTACATCACATCCTCGCTTTGGCCCAAGCAACACAACATGCATCATGACAGGGGACACTTGCACAATGGATAGTAATTGGCAAACCACAAAGATACACAGCAATCAAGCAAGCCGGGGTGATGATGCAGCCCTTGGAAGTGAATTTCGTGAACTAGACTAGACCTGCGGCCAGAAACGAGAGGTAACGAGCGACACAATGATCAGCATAGGCAGTCTTGGGTTTAAGCTACTCCTGGGGGTGTCCTTGTAAGGAGTGGGGTCCATGATGGGCTCAGAGCTCATCCTTAAACCCTAAACCCTAAGAACCCGGGAAGTGGCCACAGAAGCCCCAAAACCCTAAACAGGCTAAACTCTACAAGCCCTACAGGGCCCTATCTGGCCTTGGAGTATTATAGGTACTATACCTTAATACTTATTTTTTGGTTCTGGGTTCCTATTATGGCTACTTACACCTAAAAATCACGTACTTTTTTTGCGGGTCTACTCCAAAGTAGGGCTAGGCAGGTCCTTTGTTTGAGCCCTGAGCCTTATGTTGCACCGGCGCATGCGGCCTGAAACTCTACGCACCCCATTTCCTAAACCCCAAACCAAAACGGCACCCTTTTTGTTTCTGCTCGGTTACCCTTGGGTCTGCAACTGTGTAAGTGTATGTGCGATCTGCTCTGCAAAGCAATGTGTAAACGTGTGAAGTTTAGTAAAGAACAAGGAATCATTGCAAGAAGCTCTGGACGTTGTGCAGAGCATAGAACAGTTCCTAAACCCCTAAACCCATGATCGCACTTGGGATACAGGTGACACCTGGCCGGGATCGAGGCAAAACGTTTTTTTGGGGTGTGGGGTGGTGGTGGTCGCCGCACTGGGGACAAGTCAAGGGCACGAAGCATTTCACTCGGTAGGCTCTTGGGATATTTTCTCCTTTATTGGGCTTAAGAGGAGCAGGGTTTATGTCGGAATATTTTTCAGAGGGCGTTAAGGGCCATCCTAGTTGATTTCCGCAACGCCAGTGCTAGAGGAATTGAACATGAATGGAAGCATCCACGTGGCCACTGCTTGTCATTCTGCGAAGAATCCAGGCCCAAGGATTTGAAACATGCAAGCGCCCTCCAACGAAGTGTCTTACACCGTCCTTTCCGAGAAAGCGAAAGGAGGTGGCAAGCGATGGATTGAGATACTCTCTGCTCGCTTGCCGATTTTGTCGTGGCTGCCAGCCTATGAAAGACGCTTCTTCGTGCCAGATGTGACCGCTGGCATCACTTTGGGAACGATGTGCCTGGCGCAGACGCTGGCACATGCAACGATTGCGACCACCAGCCCCATTCAGGGCCCCCACACTGCCCTGCTGCCACCCGTCATTTACGCCCTGTTACTGGGTAGGCCCTTGGCACATTTTATATTTTCCCCTTATTGGGTTTAAGAGGATCATATTCAGGAACATTGTTCGCAGGGTTTTAGGGGCCGTCCTAGGTTAGGTACCTCAAAGCACGGCTCCGTGTCTTCGGGCGCTATGGTCGCCATGATTATTGCCAATGTCCTCCAGCCATTCCCAGAGGAGGACTTAAATAGTAGAGTAGGTAACCTTTAACCTTTTTTGGGTACCCAATAGAATCCCAAAGGTTAACCTTTAATTCCCCAGGTTACTGGACAACTAGAGGACCACACAGAGCTTGCCTCATTGTTGGCCTTGGTTGCAGGCTTCAGTCAGATCTTAATGGGCATCTTTGATCTGGCTTCTGCCGTTCGATTTTTGTCCCAGCCAACTCTCAGTGGCTTCATCACGGGTGGAGCTGTGTTGATCATCGTGTCGCAGCTGAAGAACTTCTTTGGCTATGCTCACTTCCCACATGAGTCTGGACCTTTTGGGAAGGTCGCGGCTTGCGTCCGGATGTTGAACCAGGCGAACTGGCCCAACGTTGCGCTTTGCTCCGCATTGATTGTTTTCCTGGTGTGCTCCAAGCGCCTGAAGAGGATTGCGCGGGAGAAATCTCAAACATCGACTGCTTGGGCAGTAGTTGCGCAGCTGGCGCAGATCAAAGAAATCATTGTGGTGATGGTCGGGATTTTGTTCGTCCGACTCACGCGCAAGGACTCTGTGGCTATAGTGCCCACTGTGGGCCACATTCCGCAGGGCCTCCCCCCCTTAAGAGCGCCGTGGCAGTTCGATGCCACTCGAAGACTACTGGAAGGACCCAGTGACGTGCCTTAGATGCTGAGGCCTCCAACTGATTTGGGCGCACAGGTTAAGCCTTTTCTGCCTGGAATACTCTGAAACCCTACTTAAACCCCACACCCTAAAGCCCTGCTTGAACCCAAGAACCCTAAAACCCTAAAACCCTGAACCCTAAAACCCTAAACCCTAAAACCCTGAAACCCAAAACCCTAAACCCTAAACCCTAAAACCAGACTAGGTGCTACACGGCTTCCTATTCAGCGGTGTGGTCTTGGCCTTCTCGGCTTTCTTGACGTCGTACTCGAGCTTTAAGCGGCAGGCCCTGGCGTGCGACTATGCCTTCCGGGTGTTTATAATCACCGCTTCCTTTCTGTTTGGGGTTTTCATTGGTTTATGGCTTGCTTACTGTAATCCTAAACCTTAAGCCCTAGGCCCTAAACCCTATAAACCAGCAAACCCCTTAAATCCGATCCCCCCAAACCCTAAACCCTAAACCCTAAACCCTAAACCCTAAACCCTAAACCCTAAACCCTAAACCCCAAACCCCAAACCCCAAACCCTAAACTCACATCCTCCTCCCCGAAAGCTTCAGGCTTTGGACGCCAGGCAGGAGCTCTTTGCCTTGGGATCCTCCGGTGTGGTGGCTTTGCTGGTGCTTAAAGGGGGGATGGCCTTTGGGGGTTTAGGGTTTAGGGTTTAGGGTTTAGGGTTTAGGGTTTAGGGTTTAGGGTTTAGGGTTTAGGGTTTAGGGTTTAGGGTTTAGGGTTTAGGGGGCCTTGTAGGGTCTTCAGGGTTGTTAGGGTTTCTAGGGTTCAAGACCCTCCGGTGGCTTTGCTGGTGCTTAACCGTGGGGTTGGGGGGGGCTTTAGAGGCTTTGGGGTTTGGTTTGCTTTTTGGGGGTTTTCAGAGTTTTCAGGGCTTTTAGGCTTTTCAGGGCTTTCGTATTCCAGGGTTGTTAGGTTTTTCAAGAGTTTTCAGGTTTGCTTCAGGCTTTTTACGGGCGTTAGGGTTTTGAAGGTTTAGATCCCATAAAGTCCATGCGGTGCTCGGGGAACGACGCATTCGCAGCGGAGGGGGACACCGACCGTCTGCAGGTACCAAGTGAAGCCAAGGTGTACAACATCCACTTCTCAGCTGACCGTGGGTTGAAATCTCCATCCATATTTGTATGTAAAAATGAATACATACATATATATATATACATATACATATATCTGTGTGTGTATATGTATATCATATGCATAGAGTATAGCCCCCATCTATACCCCTGCTTGAGCAGACCCCAGACCCCAAACCCCAAACCCCAGAACTCCGAACCCCAAACCCCAAACCCCAAACCCCAAACCCCAAACTCCGAACCCCCAACCCCAAACCCCAAACCCCAAACCCCAAACCCCAAACCCCAAACCCCAAACCCCAAACTCCGAACCCCAAACCCCAAACCCCAAACCGTAAACCCTAAACCTTAAACCCTAAACCCTAAACCCTAAACCCTAAACCCTAAACCCTAAACCCTAAACCCTAAACCCTAAACCCTAAACCCTAAACCCCAAACCCTAAACCCTAAACCCTAAACCCTAAACCCTAAACCCTAGCAAGGTGGGCTCCTTCTTCGGCGCTTTCCCCCCCAGCGGCTCCCTGAGCCGAACTGGCTTGGCCGTGCAGCTGGGGGTCAACTCCCAGGTTCCCCTTCTGCTTAGGGTTTAGGGTTTAGGGTTTAGGGTTTAGGGTTTAGGGTTTAGGGTTTAGGGTTTAGGGTTTAGGGTTTAGGGTTTAGGGTTTAGGGTTTAGGGTTTAGGGTTTAGGGTGTAGGGTTTAGGGTTTAGGGTTTAGGGTATAGGGTTTAGGATTTAGGGTCTAGGGTCTAGGGTCTAGGGTCTAGGGTTTAGGGTTTAGGGTGTAGGGTTTAGGGTTTAGGGTGTAGGGTTTAGGGTCTAGGGTTTAGGGTTTAGGGTTTAGGATTTAGGGTCTAGGGTCTAGGGTTTAGGGTTTAGGGTTTACGTTTAGGGTTTAGGGTTTTCGGGTTTAGGGTGTAGTTCCGGGGCCTCCAGGGTCCTTCAAAAGGCCTCCCCTCAGAAGGCTTTTTCCAGAGCCCAGGGCCTTTTGTGGGTTTAGGGCTTGGGCCATAGGTTTTCGGGTATAAGGTTTATGGCTCTTCAGAGTTTGACGGCTCTCAAGAGGGTGCGCAGGCCCTGTAGTTACGCGCAGGAACCTCATAAAACCTACCAAAAAACCCACAATGGGAAACTCGGGTTTCTCCCCCAAGGAATCAGTCTCTTCAAGGGTCTGCGTTAATTCACTCCTCCAGTCCCGGCTCCGATCCCTCCCTAACAGTAACCCCCCCCCCCTCACCCTCCCCTAATGAAGGCTTGAACTCGGGTTTAGGGCTCTTTTGGGGCTAGGTTGTAGCGTTTAGGGGTTTTGCGTATTCTCATTTTCGGACAATTTCTGTCATAACAGGAAGATTCTTTGATACCCTAAACCCTGAACCCTAAACCCTAAACCCTAAACCCCTGTGAGGTTTGCGGCCTTGCCAACGCGGCCGCGGTGGCGGCGGGCCTGATCTTCCTCGCCCCGCTGATCGAAGACTTGCCGAAGGCATCCCTGGCGGCGATCGTCACTCGGAGTGGCCCTTGAGAACGCCTTTTTCTTGTTGGTTCTGCTTGCAACTTTGTAATCGTTACCTAAACCCATCCAAACACTAAACCCTTCACCTTAGGGTCTAGGGTTTAGGGTTTCGTGTTTAGGGTTGCACCTTTTTGCACCTTTTTGAGTGTCCTATCGTTACCTAAACCCATCCGAACACTAAACCCTTCACCCGCAGGGGTTCAGGGTTCAGGGTTCAGGGTTTAGGGTTTAGGGTTTAGGGTTTAGGGTTTAGAGTTTAGGGTGTAGGGTTTAGGGTTTAGGGTTTAGGGCATCTCGTATCAAGAGGTCATGGTCTCTGCAGAGGGGCTCATGGACTTCGCCATGCCCGTGGACTTGTGGCGATCCTCGGCAGAGTCCTTCCGCAGCTTCCGAAAGGACCCTTAGGGTTTAGGGTTTAGGGCTTAGGGCTTAGGGTTAAGGGTTTAGGTTTTAGGGTTTAGGGTCTAATTCCTAAGAAACAGCAAAAAATATAATTTTTGCTGAGGTTCCAAGTTCAGTACAGGACCTGCTGGTGTGGCTGGTGGGCTTCGTGTGCACCATCCTCTTTGGGGCCCTGTATGGGATTCTAGGTAGGGTTTTGGGATATATTTTTTTGTTTTCCGTTTACTGGGTTGCCCTAAGCCCTAAACCGCGAAACCCTAGACCGCAAACCCTAAACCCTAAACCCCTAAAGCCCTAAGCCCTAAACAAGACGATCATATTCAGGGCATTATCTTTCTCAGAGGGTATTTTTATGAAGGCCAAACTAGGATCATACTCTCCGTGCTGGTGGCCGTTGGGCAGGTGGTGGCCGATGCCAGCACTCCCGATGCAGTAACCCTGGGAGCCGTTCCCCGTCTTCAGAACCAATGGCACGACGTGTCGCGGTGGCCGGAGGCCAGGACGGTGCCTGGAATCTTGGTCTTCGAGTTTCGCGGCCCCTTGGTCTTCGCCAGCGCCGAGTGGTTCCACGATGAAGTAGAGCGCATGCGGCTCTCTGAGAGCCACGGGGCTTCGATTCGCTATGTCATCTTGGGCATGAACCCTGTACCTATATCCCCTTTGGGAATTGTTTTTTGGTATTTTTGTTTACATAAAAACCCAAGAGGATATTAGAAATATTATCTGTTTTTATTAAGGTTCTAAGGGGAGTAGAGGTACCAGTCATCGACTACTCAGCCCTTGCCATGCTGCAAACCATCCTGACGGAGTGGAAGAAGAAGGGCATTCGGTGTATGGTTGCTGAAGCCAACTCCAGCGTCCTTGACCTGCTGCACCTTAGGGATACGTGGGAATATACTTTTAAAAACAAATTTTGGGCACTGTAATTCCTAAGAAACAGCTGAAATGTTTTTTTTTTGCTAAGTTCAGTATAGGCACGAGAAGCTCGGCGATCAGCTGGAGCAGTTCGAGGACAAGTCCAAGGAGGTCCTCAGCATCGAAAGTGCGGTGTCCGTGGCCACAGGCCGTTTGGCGCGCTCGCGCCTCTCGCCGAAGCCTGTGGGCACTTGTGACTTTTAAGTCGGCTACGACCTGGTTGATTGCTATAAGCGCTTCAAGGACTTCCGTGCGCCCCGCCGGCGTGCTGAAAAAATCCGCCCGCCTTGTCCCCTCCCTAAACCCTAAACCCTAAACCCTATAAACCCTATAAAACCTAAACCCTAAACCCTAAACCCTCTTTCGACGGGTCCCTTGAATCCCTGACCGTGGTCTCGGATGCCTCGTTTGCTCTCACGAGTCCAGCTTGTTGGTCTTCCTCCGTGCCCCCAAATGTAGGGGCTTAGGGTTTGGGGTTTAGGGTTAGGGGTACCCGTATTCTACCCCAACTAGATAGAATCCCCTTAAAGAGACCCCCCCCCCCCCCCCCCAAAAACCAAAAAAAAAAAGGTACCCCTATTTTCGGAAACCCCCACTTGCGTCCCTGCCGCGCCTGCAATAGTGGCTCAAACTGATGGCATATGGATTCTGAGATCCTTAGATCACCTGAACCTCATTCGGACAAGTAGGTTGGCAAAGAGCGTCGTTCGTAGCACACGCTTGGCATGTGTGACATGTGCCTCCTTCACAGCATCGGCTGTTTGCCGGAAACATCAAGCAGCTCAGAAGAGCTTGCGCTTTAGCCATGGGCAGCGGTGCATCAGCGGAACAAAGGTTCCGGAAGCCCAATGCTCGGCGTGTAAACTTGTTCAACATCTTGCAAGAGATGATGAAAGACACCAAGCGAGAGGAGGACATTTCCGACGACCACTGGCAGCTCTTGATGAAAGCGCTCGAGGCCGAGGAGCACGACGACTCGCAGGTCAAGCAGCTGCGGGAGGAACTCGAGAAAGAGCGTGCAGGCCGTGAAAGGGCCGAAGACTTGGTTGCAAAACTGCAGGAATACAAAGACACGATGCAGGAGGTGCTGAAAGCCAAGGGTGAGATGCAAGCAGCCATGGAGAAAGAGCTCGCGGCACTCAGGGACATGTTGCAGCAGAAGGATGAGGGAGTCAAGAAGACAGAGGCCTCGGCGGCCAGGTCTGAAGCCGAAGTTGCAGCTGAGGATAAGGAGGCGGCCGCGGACTGCAAAGACGTCCACGACGCGGCACGAAAGAGTCTTGCCGCCGTGCGGCACTTTCTCCGGGAAGATCCCGGTGCCGTGGATAAGAGGGATGAGCACAAAAGCACACCGCTGTTTCCAGCAGCTCGCCGTGGCCATGGTGATGTGGCCCAGTTCCTTCTCGCAGCGCGGGCCAACGTCAATGCGCGAAATGACTTCAACGACATCCCCCTTGACTGGGCAGCTTCGAGTGGCCACGGAGACGTGATGAAGATCCTCATCGCGGCGAAGGCCTAAACCTTAAACCCTAAACCCTAAACCCTAAACCCTAAACCCTAAACCCTGAAGGCCAACATCACTGCGGTCAACAATCATGGCAGGACACCGCTGCACAGCGCAGCGATCAGCGGTAGGGGGGAGGCGGTTCAGATTCTTGGTAGCCCAGTGGTGTCTCTCTCTTTTTTTTTTTTTTTTTCACTTTTTGTTTTTTCAAGGTTCCCTTATACCCAAAAAAGGATAGTTACCCTTGTTCTAATTTTTTTCCCGTAGAAAGCCCTAAAAATGTTCCCTTATTCCCAAAAAATGGGTGCCCTTGTTTGAATGTGGTCTCTGGACGACCAAGGATTCTGGTGGAGGCCGAGCCGAGCGCCTCCCACTTGGAAGCCAAAGATGGCTCAGGACAGACTGCTTCTTAGTAGCTGAGTGAGCACGCTTTACACTTTTGGGCAATAGAACTGAAAGTGTACGCTTTTTGGGGGGGCTTATGACCCTAAGCCAAAAACCCCAAACCCCAAACCCCAAACCCCAAACCCCAAACCCCAAACCCCAAACCCCAAACCCCAAACCCTAAACCCTAAACCCTAAACCCTAAACCCTAAACCCTAAACCCTAAACCCTAAACCCTAAACCCTAAACCCTAAACCCTAAACCCTAAACCCTAAACCCTAAACCCTAAACCCTAAACCCTAAACCCTAAACCCTAAACCCTAAACCCTAAACCCTAAACCCTAAACCCTAACTCAGCAACTAAGGCCTTGGGCTGGGCAAAGAAGGAGGGCCACCCACCGGTGCAGCAGATCTTGAAAGATGCGGGGGCTCGGAAGTGAAGATGCTGAAACGCTTGGTGGTTTAGGGTTTAGGCTTTAGGCTTTAGGCTGTAGGGTTTAGGGTTTAGGGCCAAGTTTAGGGTTTAGGGTCAGCCATCCTTGCAGCTGATTGAAGCTGCGAGCGACAGTCGAAAACTTTCCTGTCGTCAACTGACGAAGCCCTGGCAGATCGGAAGAAGTCAGATGCATCAGACATATCGATTTTGCAGCATGTGACCAGTGTCCATGTGTCATGCAGGGTTCCCCTTTCAAGCGTGTCAGTTCCACAGGGAGGGGTGGGTGCAGAAGATGTCCGCCTCAAGGGCAATTTGCAGTTCCTTCCAGGAATTCCAAGGTGGAGGGCACCTGCGTTTGTGGAGGGTTTGGGCTTTAGGCTTCACCCGTAAAACATGTAAAGTTAAAACTATGATCCCACTTGAAGAATTGGAACATGACATACAGCAACATGTTCATGCTTGCCGCTATTCTTACCGGATGGGTTTAGGGTTTAGGGTTTAGGGTTGGCTGAGGGCATCCCGCTCATTGCCCCACCAGAGGGCACCAGATGCACTGTGGGGCTCGCTGTCGTGCGAAGGCATGCTGCGGAAAGGACGGCAACCAAAAACTTAACCCTACGTGAAGGTTCATGGTACTTACTAACCAATTAAGTACCATGAACCTTCAAGTACAGATCAATCCCAAGCTGATGCCGCGATCCGTCGCCGACCCGAATGAGATTCATCAAATGAAGAGATTGATCGTGTGGGAAACGCATTCTGGTGGTCAGAAAGGGCTGTGACATCATCATCATCATCATCATCATCATCATCATCATCATCATCATCAGCCATTAAGATAGAGTGAGCAAGTAAGATGGCTCTCACGTGATCAAACGAAGCCACGCGACATCCGTTGTTTTTCCGACTTCGTCGAACCCCAGTCATCGGCCAGGACAGCTTTAAAAGCTGGGGCGGCCCCCAAGAAGTGAGAACCCTTTCGGAATGGAGCAGCTCAAGGCCTTCTTATATGAGAAAGTGGTTTCTTCCATATCAACCAAACATGGCGCTTCCAAAAGGGTCCGAGCCCGAGGCCCAGAGGCCGATGGGTTGCCGAGTACTACCAAGACCTGCGATGCTTGGCGATCGCTGAAGTCTCCGCATCTCAGCTGGCTCAAGCCTGGTATGGAAGACCTCCATCTCCTCTCGATGCCGAAGTCATGGAAGAGGCCGAAGTTGGCTCTCATAGTGTCCCCGTTCCAAGTTGCATACTTGTTGTAGTGCAAGAAGCGCCGGTCGTTCTTCTTGTTTTGAAACTCCATCAAGGGGGGTTGTAAAAATGACTTTGATTTTTTTTCGACTTTGGGTTTCTGGTTGGGGGGGGGGGGAGGGGTTGAAAAGTTCTGCATCTAGAGGTTGTGCTCGTGGAGCCTGGGGTCTAGAAGGTTATGAGGCTATGGGTTTAGGGGTTTGGAGATGCTTCTGTGTTCATCAGCCATAGCGGCTAGCATTCCACAGGCGTTGTTGATGATGGTGATGATGTAGGGCGGGTAGAAGGGCTTCAAAGAAGAGGGGTACTTGAGGGGCTTCAGGGTGTCGAGTTTCGGACCCAAAGTTAAAAACCAAATCCCAAACCCTCGGCCGTTGGGTTGAGGGTGTAGGGTTGAGCGAAAGCTACTGACCTACAAACAAACGCTTGCAAACCCTAAGCCCTGAACCCTAAACTTTGATAGGCCCTAACAGGGATCTCAGAAAGAGGACCTTAATCTAGAGCGCCGGAGCCCCAGGCCCCGTTCGACCCTTGTCTCGAAAGATCCTGAACCCTAACACGCCGCATATAAGGCCAACCCCCCCCGTGGGGCTCGGGGGGGGGAGGGGTTGGGAATTGGAGGGTGTGAGGTTTAAGGCCTGGGGGACAAATCTTACGGGGCATTCAGGGTTGGGTCTCGAAATTTCCCAGATTTCGAGATGCGTGGGCTTGTTTTCGAGACCCGGTCGGAAAGAGTTTGATTGTTTTGGCAGGTGTTGACAACTCGGCCTCAGGGGAGTACAAGCAAGTGCCCCAATTGCCGGGTTGAGCTTCGCGCTCTTCCCGGCCGCCGAGCTGCGCGGCACTTCAAGGGCAACACGCAGGAGCTCCTGGCGCGACTGGTGGCCGAGCAGTGGGCAACTTCGCATGTTTGTTTGGTCCCGGATATGATTTCGAGCTTTAGGGATTATATAGGCCTCGTTAGGGCTCTGAAGGCTATAGCTTCAGAGGCGATTTTTTTGCAATGGCATCAAAGTAAAATTAGCCTTCCCTCTTTTTGCTTGCCCAAGCTTAACCTGGCTTCTACCAGCCAAGGGGTTCTGAGTAACGTTTAGAGTTGGGGTTTATAAACACCAATGACCGCAACAAAAACACATTTATGAACAAGAAAGACATATGTGTCGAGTATAGAGACCAAGTACGATATTTGCGGCCATCGTTCTAAACAAACTTCGCTCATGGCTCGATCCGTGAGTGTGTCCGGTGGACCTGGGAAGCCGGGCCAGCCTGGCAAGCCGGGTCGGCAGCTCCGGCAAAAAGCGGCCAGCTTGGGAAGTGGGGAAAAGTGGGGCTAGTGGCGTTGGGGGGCGTCCTTGTGACCACAACCTCAACAAGCTGGTGGAGATGACCCATGCTCTGCTCACCAGCCAGCTGGCTGATGCCTGTGCATCCTCCGTGAAATCGACCGTCTTGTCAAACCCTAACTGGACTACGCGCAAGCGCTGCGAGCTAGAGCCTGACCGTCTGTGTCTCTCCTAAGCAGCTGCTCGCGCGTTGCCCTGCCACTGCGCTTGCCAGTTGGTGGCCGACTACGACGGCGGCCTGGAGGATGCAGGCGTCGGCAGCTGGAGCTTGAGGCGTGGGACAGAGAGGGATTGGTATGCAGCCTTACGCATCCATCTCGATACCTCGATCCCTTGCAGCCACGGTCCCCCCCAAAGCGCCCTTGCACACCTGCGCTTGCCATCACTTGCTTGTGCATCGTTCTATCTTTGGGACAGGCTCTATCGAAGTTGCATCAGCCTCTCATGCTAAACATGCCTTCTCTTGCCGCCAAGCCTTGAAGAAACCCTGGGACCTAGAAACCTCTAGTCATTCCATGCTCTGTGCCAGGGCTGGAAGTGCTGACGAAGGCAGCGTGGCAGGGTGTGTATACAGCTTGCGTTTTAGAAGCTTGGAAGTCCAGGCGCTGAGCCTTTGAGGTACCAAAAGCCCCCTAACACCCTATCGCTGCATCCCATTGAACCCAAATCCCCACTACGCAGCTGTGCCTTTGGTGTCAAAAAGGAAAATGCCGCCAAAGAAATACGATTGGACTACTTGTAAAATCAACACATGTAGGAAGCTTAGGCTTGTTTCGCAATGGACCCTGCGTAGGGCGCTCCATAGGAGGAGCGTGCAAGGCCTCCCACACATGGCCAGGGTACCTCTTCAAAGCTCCCAGTTTTTTTGATTCCTTTGTGTGAGTTTTGCTCTTTTGCAATCCCGAGGCCCCAAACTCCCGAAAGCGCTAAGGGCTGAAAAGTACAGGTGTCATAATGGGCTTAGGGAAATCCTAGCAGGAGATTCCCGACATGCCATTTCTGGATGAGCGCGCGTAGCAGGTGCGCGGGGGCGGGGGCGGGGCAAGACTGGAGACTGTTAAATGATTGCCATTCTTCTGGAATGGATATTTCACTACAAGGTATAGCCACTCAAACTACGGATTAATGAGTTCGGCGCATTCGGCCCCATGGTTTTAGTTTTGGGGCTCGGGGGCATGGGATTTAGGGGTTGTAATCATCTTGAAGGACACTTCCTCCTTGCAGCCACGGTCCCTCCTTTTGCCGCCAAGCCTTGAAGAAACCCTAAACCACAACTTCATTTTGCAAGCGCAGCATCCAGTCAGGAGATGGAGCAGCTCAAGGCAGGATGGTGCTGGGGGGCCTAAGAACGACGTTTGCAGAGATTTAAGTTTGGGATCTTGTGTGCTGTGGCCCGGGTCAAGCAAACCAAGTTGTAGCTCGCCAGGATAAGGGTTCGTCGCACTAGATAGGAATATCCGATGCCCTGAGCTTTTCTGGCGCAGGAAGTGGTTGCCAACCTGGCGACAGAACAGGCCCTGTGGTTTGAATGTTAGTCGTGTTGGTTGCAACTGGGGTGTGTTGGGAACGTGCGTGTTGGGAATGGGTGTGGTGCGTGTTGAGAATAGCCGGGGCCGAGTCGGGAGCAAGCCAGGTGCGTGTCGGGAACACACCAGACACACGTGTTGGGAACACGTGCCTGCTCTGAGGAACAGCAAAGAGCTCGAACAATCTCCAAAACCATGCCCTGGACTTGTAACCGCCGAAAAAGCATGATTCACAGACTATTCCTGTGTCATCGTCAATGTTAGTTAGGAATCCTCCTAAGCCCGAACCCTGAACTCAAACATTGAATCCAATACCCTGAAACGGAACCCTAAACTCCAAAACCCTTAAACTCGGAACCGCTGAACTACAAGCCCAAGACACCGAGCTCGAGACTTAACTCAAATCCCACCCCCTCGTTTCTTGTTTTTGTTTCTGGTGTTTATTTTTCGCGAATTAGAGAAGTAGAGAAGTGGA